TGTCCACGACTTCAGAGGTGTTCCATGACCCAATGGGTTGGTTGAACCTGGCAGCATTGTAGAACATGCCGTTCATGGTTCTCACATTGCCCGTGTCCCAAGCACCGATGGGCTGATCAAAGGACATGGCTCCAGAGAACATGTCTTCCATGTCAACGACTGCCGCTGTGATCCACAAGTCAATCGGCTCATTGAAACTGGACGCCTCGTAGAACATCTTGCGTATTGTCTTCACACTTGACGTGTTCCACGCGCCTTGGCTCGACTCACTGGGTTTCTTTTGGCGGTCGTCCGGTTCGACCATGGGTCGATGTCATGGCTCCTGCCGGGGGGTGACCATGGATTGCGCCAAAATCGGAACAAGGAAGCAGTTGGGACGGGAGGCGCCCAAATTGTTCAACAAAAATCACTGAAATGCATGAGAACAGGCACCGAAACGTTCATATTATCATATTCATGAACCAATGTGCGGCCGAACGTCCGATGGGCATGTTGAATGCAGTGGCTCCATGGAACATGGAACTCATGTCCAGTACCTTCGAAGTATCCCATGCGCTGATGTTCTCATTGAAGCCGTCCAAGTCCTTGAAGAGTCCACTCCTTAGTGTAAAGATGCAGCTAAATCCTGAGGTTTGGAGTATCTTGGATTCCAAACTGGGCAATGAGTGCCAAATCCCCTTCCAAGTTGAGTGATTTTGTATGATTTTCCTGTTTGTTACATGTTGTCAGTTGTTTTGTTCACATCTTGAAGAGCTATTTATGAAGTGCACGGACTGCACCATCTGGAGAATGTTTAAGTCTGTCTCTTCTGACTCTGTTTCTTCCAAAACCAAACTTGGAATAATCCAACATACCTGGAACAATCCATGGGACTGGAATATCAACCATTGGGAGTAAGCACCTCCAACTATATATAGTTCACTTACATGTCCACGTTGCTTCGCGCACACACAGCTTGGATGAGGTAATTTCAGTCGTCAATGTAAGTCAATGTAGGTACATTCCATAAATTGCGATCAATGGAGCGTCTGGGACACAATCTGAATTCAATCACGGCAACATGGGAGATGCTGATGCCTTCCTTTGATGCACAGTACTGCCACTCTCCATTTTTCCACTTGAAGGTACCACGGGAATGATGCAAGCAGCTAGGGGAAAAGGTGTCCAAATGCTCTACTTCCATTTCTCTCAAACCTTCCAGATTGTCATTGCTTGCCAAAGCGGAGAAAAAACCAATTCCTTCCCTTCTGAAGAGCTTGCAGCTTTCGCGAAGCTTATTGTCAAAAGTTAAGAGAACCCAAGAAAAATAGCACATTCACATGCACAAATATGAACTCTTCTGGTTTAAGGTTCATGTTGGTGACGGATGACACGTTCCATTCACCAGGCGTTCCCCACAACGAGGTCAGCTGCAACTTGGTGGCCTCGTCCGCATTGTGCCACCTCTCAGAGTCAGCGTGTTTGCTCAAGGAGAGGTCGGAAGGGAAGATCATGAAGGGGATCATCACTGTTGGAGGAAAACCATGGAAAGGATTCCTATGTCGCTCTACTTCATGACTATACTTCCTGAGTGTTTCACACATAAGGAGGCTTTCAGCCTCGCTGCTTTGATCTCCCAAAGCACACCGTGCAGCACCATAAAAGGATACTCGGAAAAAGAACAACGAGCCGCGCGCACGTTTGGTCGTCTCTTTGTGCCGCGCCGCATCAACCGAATCGACTGCGAGGTCGTCGACGCCTCCGACCGGCTTCGCGTTCGCGACGCGGCGTCACGCGGTACGGCGTCGTCGCGGCCAAAAAGCCCAAGGCGCTGGAGCAGCGCATCTCGCAGCTCTGCTCGGGTGGAGAAGAGAGATCCATAAACTCCAGAGAGCAACATGCATAGCCAGTATCGAAGCCAAAGCAGCGCCACCATCGCTGATGATTCCGAGGCCTTTTGTTGGAAGCACTTTTTGGCGCCCACCCAATGGGCTGCATTCGTGAGGACGTCTGAGCCACAAAAGACCGCCATGCAGAAAAGTATGTTCAAAACCTATGAACATCACGAACAGAAACCCAAGAAATGATCAGATCTCGCCATGGCGAGTTGGGAAATCCTGACTCACGATCTACATGCGAAGTGAACTGAACTTCCCCTGCAAGGGCCGATGTGAACCTCGTCTTTGGAGATGCTTCCTTCAACTGGATCCTTCACCGTCTTTGGGATTCTTTTGGTTCTTCAACTGGACCTTTTGATGATTCTTGATGGCTTTCATCACATCGCACCAGAAGTGGCCCGGTACGTCGAGGTCGCTCGCCGAGTGGTTCGCAACACGGCGAAGCCGAGAATCGAATCTCAAAACATGACAGCAGCGCCCACACCCAGGACTACGAAGAGCGACCTGAAGGCGTTGATTGACGTTGATTGATGATTGTGAAAACAAGGATCATCCAGAAGACTTCTTTGGCAAGCGAACATCAAGGATACTCATCAAAGCGGGCAAACATCTACCAGTTCCAGGACAATTATAACGGCTAAGCGGGCAACATTAGCCAAGCCTTTCTGATATGCTTCTCACATCTTTCTTCGCAGTCCAAGCAATGAGAAACCCCTAGCCCTAAGATTTGTGGCCCACCATTCATCCCACTAGCCTGAATCCAGAACAACCTTTGTTACATAAGGATCTTATACTGCAAGCCCAGGTCAACCATGTTTGATATGGATTGGTATCTTAAGAGGGGGACCTCTCTGGCCAACTGGATTTGTATAGTTGATTTTTGATCTTCTTAGCTGTCTGAAACAGTGGTCTCCCTATTTTAAGACATGGTCTTGAAGGGGGGCGACCGAAGACCAGACCGCACGGCCCCGCCCCGCACGGGCGACGTGACGTTCGCCCCGAACTGGTTGGAGCGGCAGAAAGTTGATGGCAATCATCTTCCCATGACCATAGACCAGGCAGTAGCAAGCGTACCTGGACGACGGATGGCCGTCCAACCAGCGAGACAGTTGCTTTTGGCCATGGCACTGGGGTAGTTAAGGAGCTTGACAGGTTTGACGAGCTGTGACGAGCTTTGAATGTCTCTTCTTGGGTGGTTCCAGTGCACTCTCACCCACTCCCAGTACACGAAGTCGTGCCTTGCTACATGTCAGAGGCCCCGCTTTCCAGCTCCTACCTGCTTGATTCATGGGATTCCCTTTGGGCTCTTGCAAACAAAGTTGGACCCGTGCGGGCCATGGTTCTCACATCGGTATTGGGATTGGTTTGGGACTTCCGGAATTCTGCACAACAACCACAAACAACAAACAACAACAAACAAACAACAAACAAACAAACAAACAATCAACAAACAACAAACAACAAACAACAAACAACAACCAACAACCAACAACAACAACAAACAACCAACAACCAACAACCAACAACAAAAAACAGCAACAACAACAAACAACAAACAACAACAAACAACGACAACAAACAACAACAAAAAACAAACAACAAACAACAACAACAAACAACAAACAAAAAAACAAACAAACAACAACAACAAACAAGAAACAACCAACAACCCACAACAACAACAACAACAAACAAACAACAAACAACAACAAGAAACAACAAACAACAAACAACAAACAACAAACAACAACAACAGCAACAACATCATCAACAACAACAACAAACAACAAAAAAACAAACAACAACAACAACAACAAGGACAACGACAACGACAACGACAACGACAACAAACAACAACGACAACAACAACAACGACAACAACAACAACAACGACAACGACAACAACAAACAACAACCAACAACAACCAACAACCAACAACAACAAACAACAAACAAAAAATAATAAAAACAACAACAAACAAACAAAAACCAACAAACAACAAACACAACAAACAACAACCAACAACCAACAACGACAACAAACAACCAACAACCAACAACAACAACAACAGCAACAACAAACAACAAACAACAACAAACAACGACAACAATCAACAACAAAAAACAAACAACAAACAACAACAACAACAACAACAAACAAAAAAACAAACAAACAAACAACAACAACAACAATCAACCAACAACCAACAACCCACAACAACAACAATAGCAACAACAACAACAACAAACAACAACAAGAAACAACAAACAACAAACAACAAACAACAAACAACAAACAACAAACAACAAACAACAACAACAACAACAAACAACAAACAACAAACAACAAACAACAAACAACAACGACAACGACAACGACAACGACAACGACAACAAACAACAACAACAACAACAACAACAACAACAACAACAACGACAACGACAACGACAACGACAACGACAACGACAACGACAACAAACAACAAACAACAAACAACAAACAACAAACAACAACAACCAACAACCAACAACCAACAACAACAACAAACAACAAACAACAAATAAAATACAAAACACAACAACAACAAACAAACAAACAAACAAACAAACAACAACAAACAAACAACAAACACAACAAACAACAACAACAACAACAACAACAACAACAACAACAACAACAACAACAACAACAACAACAACAACACCAACAACCAACAACCAACAACCAACAACCAACAACCAACAACCAACAACCAACAACCAACAACCAACAACAGCAACAGCAACAGCAACAACAAACAACCAACAACCAACAACCAACAACAAACAACAAACAACAACCAACAACAACAAACAACAAAGAACAACAACAACAACAACAACCCTTCTTCTCATGCTTCCGAGGAGGTTGCGCGGCCGTACGTTGACACACTTGGTCAACGGACTCCAGTGGAGTACCTTTGGTCGTAGCTTCTGGTGCTCATGACATGAATGCTGATCGCTTCAGCGGGCGGACGGTGTCCAGTGTACATGGAATGATATGAACAGGCAAGCCCAAAAGTTCAAGACATCCCATCATTTCATCTCAAAAGTCAAATTACTCGAACTCAGGAAAATCAAAATCATGGACCTACAGCCTTCACAGATGAAGTGTGAGGCGCAGGTTGTGAGGGCAGGGACTAGGCAGTGCAAACTCTCAGACATCGGCCGCAGGCAGCGGCCCAGCTGCCCAGGTCAGCGGCGGCCATGGTTCTTCCCAACCGCAGCAGCAGCTCCATTGGAGGCGGCAGGGATGAATCCAACGCCGTCGTGATACGGGAGATCAGTGAGGAGATCATCAAGATTAGCCATGTCTTCATCTGAGGCGGCCAAGCCACTAGTGGCATCTCCAAGGCACAAGTCATCATGTGTCTCGTCTGAGATCAATGCCGGTGTCTCCAAGGCACTAGTCTCCTCACAAGGCGAGATCCTGCAGGGCAGGGTGTGGTATCCAAGGCACTGTGGACTGGCGTGAGCCAAATCAAAACTAAGCGTTCCAGCGCCCAACTGGGCAAACAGTCATGCTTCCTGGCAGGCTTCTGATCGTCCAGTTCGTACCAACAGGAGGGGTTCCAGGCTTTCAGGAACGTGACGAAGTGACCTGATGAAGCACAAACCATGCCGTCTGATCAATGATATTGTATGTAGCCTGAGTCTCCTTGCAGTGCATGAGCCAAGAAGTGCACCACCAAGTACTTGAGCAAGGCACAACTTTGCTGGCATGCTGATATATGTTGATGTTCAATGTGATAAAGGAGCTCAAGAGGATCAGAGCAGCTACAATTGCACAGTGCACAGTGATGCCCAAGCCCCTCACAGACATTCAACTTGTTCAGCAGGAGCGCCGGCATGCGGTCGTCCATGTTTTGAAGTAGTTGCGGTGCCTGTGCACGCAGACGTGGATTGACTTGGGCTAGTCGGGTCAAGTGCTCAATCTAAAGCTTCCAGGGGGGGAAGAAGAACCGGTGGTCCGGATTGATGAACTGCTCAATCGTGGCTAACTGCCTCCACGCAACACAACGATGAGAACGTGGCTGTGAGGGGCGCCTGGGATTGCATACACAATCTGGATGTTGCTCCTCCATCAACAGGACATGTTCATCTGCTGCTCTATAGAATTACTATAGAAGGGACCATGCTGAGTCTGAAGGTGCCTGGTGAGATCTGCCACTCGACTATGTCCCAACCCACACATACAACAAGAGAGTGTGAATCGAAGCCGATCTTGAGGATGTTGTGGCTGCTGCTGCATCTCAGGAACCTGTCCTGAACGTAGGGCAGTTTGTATCATGACATTGAGCACCTGACGGTTGGAGCGAGGGATCGAAGACCGGGCACGACTTCAACTTGATCGTTCTTGGGGATTGGAACTGTGGTCTTCCACAAACTTTACCATACATTGGCACTAGTGATTTTGCCAGCCCTCAGTGTCGTATCACTGGCCTCTTGCATGCTGACCGGATGCAGCACTTGGATCTTGTTCACACCCATGATCTCTGTGCCATCAACGCGTGACGCCACGACACAGGACCCACTTGTTGCACTGCCAAGGGTGACCTGTCGCGGATTGACTTCATTTTTGTTCGACTGAGACAGACGGATCGTGAAGCCATGGAACCGATGCCGATTGAATCTTTTGACATTTTAGGTCCTGCCAAAGTTGGCCATCGACCCATTGTTGGTTCAATCAATCTTGCATGGCGACCGTCGTCAGGTTCGGCACTTCAGCGGATAACGTATCAGAGTCGGGGGAACTGTCGTGCTGCCCAGCAGGATGATGCTAGATGGTCCGCCTTCCTCTCAACCAACTTGGCTCTTTTGACTGAGGCCAAATGGACTGACATACATGATATAAAACACACCCAGGACTTCCTCACACGGAACTTTTGTGCACACTTTGCCTCCAGTAGTAGGGCTTCGGCTCCAATGTGGCAGAGCACTCAGGGACTGATGTCAAGGAAATGGGAACTTCTTGCAAGTATTCGTCGCTTCACCACTCCTTCCTTGAGCAATTGCTTTAGTGTATGGAAACTGGTTGT